TCCAGGGTTTCCCCCACCTCTACCCCTCCTCCAGCACGACAAACGTGGATATCTAGTGCCACCATGCCCAGCTTTTTACATGATATGAACTCATGGCAAGTACCGACTGAGTCATGTCCTTAGCGCTGGGTGTGGAGATAGAATCTGGGATGGGTTTTGAACTTCTATTTGTCACTTTTACTCACTTACTGAGTAGGGATTCCATCAGCCTTCCATACCTTGAAGGTCTTTGTGAGAACGAATGAAACGATCTTTTAGTACAAACATGCACGTTTCTAGTTCTCAACAGACCATAGCTCGCTGTAACGCCTGGGTGTTCTGGGAGGCCTCAGCGTCTGGAACGAGTCCAGGCTCACTCCTCTGACCCATGCCTTGTTGTCATCTTGGTCAGCTTCCTAATTCGGAATGCTGTTTATATTTCTAGGAACATGCCAAAGACAATCCGGAGAGTTCTCTTACGTCCTTTACATGGCTCATCTAACGCTAGTGTCTTACATGGCTCTAGCCCATTGTGAAAACTTCAGAGCAACACTTGAGCACGGCTATTAACTAACCTACAGTTGTCCTTCACTCTACCGTTTCTTCTGCTGAAGTCCTTTTCTGCCCAGCGTTCGGGCCTCATTCATACATGGCGGTCTTATGTCTGATTGGTCTCCAAGCCAGTTTCCGAATTTCCTCGTCTTTGATTCACTCCCCATTTGGAGGCACACTGGTCACGTTGTGTAGACCACCTTTCACTTTGGCTTCGCCTGCTGTTGTGTTTTCTCGTGGTTAGAGTTAGGGGTTTTGGGGGGTGGGAGAAGAAGTGCTTTCTTAGCATGTGGCAGTAGAGACACACGCTATGAACGCATTCTGCGATTGGTAAGGGTAACATTACTCACTTCCTCACAGGAAAATCTGTCAGGTTTACCTTCTGCATACTCTTTGTTTTAAGACAGATTTATTTTTAATGATGTGTATGTGAGTGTAGTTGTGTGTGGGTATTTGCACACTGAGAGCCATGTCCTAAAAGGCCATAAGAGGGCATCAGCTTCCTCTGGAACCAGAGTTGCAGGTCTCTGTGAGACTCCTCTTCCCGACTGAGCAATCTCTCCAGCCCCGGGATGTTTTGACTTTTTTGTCTGGCCCTAGAATTAGCCATTTTCCAAGACCTTCTGCTCCTTTTATCAACACGTGGTTAGGAGCCAGGAATGAACTTCAGGCATGCTTGCTGGTTCTTGCTGGCGCCATTTTCTAGCAAGCACACTAGTAAAGGCTTGGAGTTGGGAAGGGACAGTTTTCTCTGACTTTGGGATGACTACTTTTTCACTCTGAGCACCAGTTTCCTCATCAGTGAGTGAGGAAAAGCGAAAACCACTGGCAGGGTTGAAGGATTGTGAGGAGTGCCATCAGAGAGACTAGCTGTTTCTGAGAGCAGACGCTGCTTTCCCACACCAACTTTTCCGCTGAATATAATCAAAGTATTTGGGGAAATTACGGTAAACAAAGTCAAAGCATCAATGAGTTGATAAAACAATAAAAGCAATAAGAAAAAAGGGAATTTAAAGGAATAAAAAAGGAATTGCATTTTCTCTAAAGCCATTTATCGTTTCCAGCAGATCTGAACTTTCATTTTGACAGAAAGGCAGTGACTGAGGAGGGACAAAGTCATGATAGTAAAACACCAGAGACAATACTAGGTAAAGATCTCCACAGGAGACCCTTGCCACAGAAAACAGCGATGCCAGGGAACAAACAGGTGAAATAATTCCTCCCTGAATTTTATGACTCTTTTGAAAAAACCTCAAGCAAGGCTTGAATTTAAGGCTGGCCTCCTTTTTGTCTCTTCAGAGTGTCTTGGAAGGTGAAGTAGCCTCAACTGACTTCTCATAAATCATAAAACGTTTACATTACTCCAAAATGCAGAACAGTACACACCAGAAGGTAACTCACCACACAACTGACATGGTCGGGAAAGGAAATAAAAGCTTAAAGACTGAAGAACTTGAAATTGCTTCCTAAAGGCTATAAACCACAGTGCTTTAATGTGTAGAGAAATAAAGAACAATGTTAAACATATTTGTGGAGTAGAGACTAAAATGTGCCACAGGTACAAGACAAAGGAAGAAGGGACCTGTTCAGATAAACATTCTAACACCTCGGATAAAAGCCAGGGGAAGGGGATGGGTTAGCTCAAAAGAAAAACACATCTGAGGAGCCGGGGAAAACACCTAGGACACTTTCCAGAACACAGAGAACCCCAGTCTGTCCATCTCATGGATTTGTCAGAACTCTCCTGCTGGGCATCTTCAACTCACTGAGGACCCTAAACTTACTGGCAAACAAAAGCTCAAGATTTCATGGATGACTTGAGGTTCCTGTAAAGTGGTACAGCGGAGGTAGGAGATGACAGAGACAGGCCAGCTTCCCTATTCCTCCCCTTGGAGAACACTTGCATGCTCCAAGTTGGCAGGCTAGATATCTGACGAGGAGGCCTTTGAGCAACCCCATTTGGCCTTCCAGAGAAAGCTAGTTCTGAGGAGGCTGGCTCCTTCCTGCTCATCTCCCAGGATGCTCTGAGGGTCCCACGGTTGACAAGTGTGGAAATCATGCCATACTACAGGAATACAAAAACACTTTTGTGTCTTACATAAACTCAACTTTTCTCTGCCATAATTTGCTTTTCTTTTAATTCTACATTACTGGTGGCATAGATTCAAATATTCCCTTATATAATTTTTTAATTAAATTTTTTAGAGAACTTCATAAGTACTGTATTTATATCATTTAACCCCCTCTCTCCCCACTCTAACTCTTCTCATGGTTCCCTACTCCCTCACAAATTCATGACTTCTTCTTTAATTATTAATGTTACTTACATATATTCACTCAAGTATATGTAAACCATATACCGAGATTTAGAGTTGCTTCTACATACATATGTTTAAGAGTAATTACTATGGATTAATTAACCGATCATGGCTTGTCTCTGGAGAAAGCTGATTCTCATTCTGATAGCAGTCAAATTGCCTATACCTCTTCATCTAGTGGTGGGGCCTGGTGAGATTTCTATCAGCTTTGGCATGCCAACTGTTGTCATTATTCAGGTCTTTTTCAGGTGACCCACTTCTGAGTTTCATGGATGCATCTTTCCTGCCCTGTCTAGAAGACACTATTAAGTAGTATCCTGTTTCTCTGGCTCTTTCTATATTTCTAGCTTCTCCTCTCTGTGTAATATTTTTTAAATTAAAAAGTGGATTCCTTAGCCAGGCGGTGGTGGCACACACCTTTAATCCCAGCGCTCAGGAGGTGGAGGCAGGCAAACTCTGAGTATGAGGCCAGCCTGATCTCCAGAGCATGTTCAGGACAGCCAGAGCTTCACAGAAGAACTCTGTCTCACAAAAGAAACAACAAACAACAACAACAATAACAACAACAAAACATGGTTTCCTTGCTTATCCCAAAGCGAGCACTGTCTTTGTGAGATGTCCCCACCAAAGACAGCTGCCCTCTGTTCATTACTCTTTACCATTCAAGCAAGCCCTCAGAGCTTCTGTGTCAGAGGCACTGGGGAGATGGCTTGGCTATTAAGGCATTGGCTTCTCCTCCAGAGGACATGTGTACAATTCCCGGCACCCACATAACTGTCTGAAACTCCAGCTCCAAGGGATCCAATGCCATTTTATGGTCACTGAGGGCATTGTACACACAGCACACAGACATATTTAGATTGTGAAGTACAATCTAAAGCTTTGGCAATATCTTGGGATGTTTGGGGTTCCATGGGATCCCTTTGGCCAACAACCCAACAAAACGTAACCCTTTCCTGGCACAAGATTCTCCTTGGTGGCATAATAAGTCTAGTTGGGACATTGTCCCCATTATATGGTGATTCCTTTTAAAGTCTTTTCTATATGTATCTACTTTAGAAAACCTCTACAGCAGTAGGTTTCCAGAGCATTTTTCAAATGGTCTTTGGTGTTAGTTGTCCCTTCCCAGGCTCCCCAAATTTACTCTCCCATCTCCCTCCCAACTTAATCCTCCTATTCTGGTTTCCCCTCTGTCTCTCCATAACATTTCCCTTTCCTTAGGAGATCCATCATAGAGACCCACAACATGACAATGTGTGGAGAATGAGACACTTGGAACACTCGGCCCTGTGTGGGATGTCTTTATCAAACTATTGCCCTTGAGGCCCAGGGATCTGTGTGGAAGAGGAGCTAGAAAGACTGCAGGAGTCAGAAGTGATGGGTAACTCTAAGGAACTTCACCCTTAAGGACACAACAAAACGGATGAACTCATGGGGACTGTGGTCCCATGCATAAGACCCACACAGGTTCAAGCCAGATGGGGTCCCAGCACTGAGAAGAGGAAGTAATCCCACTCCTAACCAAGACACTATTTGCAGGTAACTGCAGGCAAAGGGAAAATCAATTTCTCCAGTGGAGTGTCACTGGGCATATTAACCACACTGTTAGCGTTTTTAAAAGTTTGGGACTCTCACTATAACAAGCCCCTCTGGATACTGCTTGGTCTGAGCCGTCTACCTCTTTGTGCTTCTCAGAGGAGATGTGCTAGGAGCCGGCTTCACTGCTGCTGCTGCTGGCTGTGCTCCCTATCCTTAGAGCAGTGTTTTGGGATGAGTTAATGGCCCTACCTTATGTTAAGGTGCTAAGTAGTTCTTCACTTTCATTGTTGCTGGTGACATCAAAATACCACGGGATATTCCGAATATGAAGAATGAGTCACTATACTTTGGAAGGAGTAGAAAAATTGCTAATATCACCCCCCTTCCACACACCCTTAAGACAAGGAAAATACGTTTCTGTCTCTACCCTCCATATCAGGAAGTTCATGCACAGCGAGTCAGTCCTTGTCACTTAATAGAATGATTATTAGAGACTATGGATCACAAAGGTCAGAGGCCAAGAGTCAGTGCTTGGAAACTGCAGGGCTGTTTTCTAAGCAAAGAGCCAAAAGTTGGTGCACGAAGTACTGCTTCTGCACTGGCAACTCTTACCTGAGCCCTGATCCTCATGCTGGCCTTGGGAGTCAGGTACTTATGTTCTAAGTACCAGCCCCGCTCCTGGAACACCAGCTTCGTCCCATACAACAGACAAAACTGAAGAATGAGAGACAAGAAAGAAGCAACTGTTAGAAAAACAGGGGCTGTAAGGAGTTAGAGATAACATTACATCACATACATCACATTTCCTAAAGTCAGAAAGTCTTTTCTTAATTAAAATGGCCATGCTTTGGATACAAAGTATATGTTTTATTTTTTTTAACCTTCCAGAAACCTTGAAAGCAGTTCTAAAATAATAGACAGTTTAGTGAGGTCTCCTGTATCAATCCCATTCAAGAAATATTAACACACAGTCAGCCTTGGTTCACACGTAACTTCCCTGTATCCTCCACACCCAGGTGACTTAGAAGTCCATTCAGAAGCAATTTTGAAATCCATATGTAGTTCTGTTTGCTTCCCTTCTCATTCATGAAAAATACACAGCAATGTCATCTTGCTATTTTCCACTGGGCAACATTTGATTGACTTTCACAAAAATAGCATTCCTCATTTACATCTCTCCTCAGTATGTTTTTTATGTTACAATTCTGAAACTGAGCAGCCTGAATGACATCACAGGCAGCAACCAAGCAAAAATCAACCAGTTTCCCAGAGGCAGAGTGACTTTTCACTTAGCTACTCATCCATTCGCCATTTAATATTCCATAATCTGAAGTCACACAGCAAGTGGGAGAGCAGTGTGCAAAGGCCTTCGTGTTTCCGCCCAGCTTCAGTGATCAGACCTCTGGTCTTGTCACCTCACCTCCCACTCAGGTCCCCTCTGTGGTATTGTCGCACTAAACCCAGCCCTACCACTTCATTCACGAACACACCTCGCCTTCATATCTCTGAAAGACAATGACTTTTGTGAGGATGGTTTTTGGCTGAGGTCACAGATCAGTTACAGGGTACAGAGTTCAGTTTGGATCCCCACCACCCACTTTTAAAAAAAAACCCTGAGTTCGGTGGAGAATGCCTATAATCCCAGACCTGGGAAGTGGAGGCAGGGGGTTCACTGGCCAGCCAGTCTAGTGAAAGACCCTGTCTCAAAAAGAAAGGAGGGGACCAATCAAAGAAGATGCCCACTGTTGACCTCTGCATGCCATATGCACATGAATGGATGAGTGTACCTTTATACATGGATGCACACACAAGTGTACATACATGTGCACACACACAATATATGTGTGGGAAAGATGTGGGAAAAGCACAAGGGACAGTGGGCTTCTTAGAGCTGGCAACTCTGGCTAGAGTCAGGTGGGGAGTCGAACGCAAAGGCAGCTACTGTAGTTTGAGAGAGCGGAGCAAACAGGGCTACTGCAGAAGGGTCCTGGACCCCGTGCAGGTCACTCCCCCTTGGGGAGGTAAGAAGGAGACAGGGAAACCCAACAAAACAGAGAGGGCAAGGATTCTGCCATGATCTGAACACGTTTCCCAGAAGTCCCTGAAGTACAATTAATAAAAACTCAAAGAAATTAAGAAGATCCAAAAAGCAAAACAGTCAGCCACTGGCTCTTACCTTGACCTCAGTCTGAAATGGCGATCCTGCCTCCAGGAATCTCAGAATGAGACTGTGACTGTGAGCTGTCTACTACCATTTTATAACCCTCTCTAGCACTGGGATTAAAGGTGTGCACCACTGGGATTAAAGGTGTGCACCACTGGGATTAAAGGCATGTAGCACTGGTTTCTATGGCAAACTAGTGTGGCTACTGGGATTAAAGGTGTGTGTTATCACAGCCTGGACTGTAAGACTGACTAGTGTGGCCATTTTACTCTCTGATCTCCAGGTAAGCTTTATTTATTACAATACAAAAGAAATGCCACTACAAATTCCCCTATTGGAGACATAATCCTCAAGTTCACATGTGAATGGCACTTAAAGGTGGAGCCTTCACAAGGGTGACATGAGGTCCTGGGGATTGAGAGCAACGTGGCAGCTTTTATAGAAAAAGAATCTTTGTCCCGTGATGGTCTGGGCCATATTAGGATGCAGCAAGAAGCCCCTCACCAACGCTGAGCAGATGGATGTTCCATGCTCTTAGACTTTTCAGCCTCCAGCACAGCCGTGAGTCAAAAAAATTGCTATTATTCATAAAGTATCCACTTGGGGTGTTTTGTGACAGCAACAGGAAAGAAGCTAAAATGGGTCAACTTCCTGGGGAGAAGAACTGGAGAGAAGACCACACATTCATCACACGTCCCAGCTTTAACTGTGATCATCAGCCTCTCATCCAGTCCTACCAATTCACGCCAAAACAAGCCAGGTGTAATTCCATACTACCAGACTACAAGGAGTTTACCGACTGTGTCTGCTGTTCTCTTCTTTAGGAAAACCAACCAACCCCTGAGCAGAAAACCAACCAATCCCTAAGCAGAGAATCCAGCCAGTCTCTGAGCTTGTCCAAACTCAGGAATTGAAATCTGACCAATTCCCACCCTGAAAATCCTCTCCCTGGAAAAATTCCATCCCTAAGAAGCCCTTCATAAGCTCTGCACCCTTTTCAGTTTGCCGCTGCCTCACCATGGAGGTGGCCATGTTCTTGGATTCTTCCCTACCAGTAAATCTCTTGAATAATAATTGGGTAATAACCTCCTTTTGCAGGAACAGATAGGAGTGGAAGAGAACTGTAACACTTTCTCTGGGGAAACCTTACTCTAGAGAAGCAGAGTTTTAAAGCTCCAGGGAACCTGAACAGAACTGTAACGACTTTGCTTTAGAAGACAGAGCAATGTATAGAATGCTGTGTATTGTGGGGAATCACATAAGATGGAATACCTGACTAGGACAGTCTTACAAAGACAAAAGAAGTTGAATCCATCATTTCAGTTCTCAAAACACAATCATGATACACAATGGTCTCGTTGGCAAATCACTCCTCTGTCTAATAAAGAACACCAAGGGCATATAACGTCTTCCCGAAGATGGAAGAGCAGGGACACCTGCTGTCTTCATTGCTATTAAAGACCACGACCAAAATCCACACGGGGCTAAAAGGCTTTATTTCTTCTCACAACTCCCAGGTTACCCCAGCGCACTTACCTTGGCTGAGAGGCTCTCAGCCATGTATGGGGTTTGCCCTTGACTATTTCTAGGTATTTTGCTCATCAACGTTGAGGGATTCTATTAGTGTCTAGTGGTAGAGGCCGGGGATACTAGCAAATATCTCGCAGAGGGCAGGGATACTTCCCTCCCCAAATACTGAGGTCAGATACGCTGAGTATGTACACAATGTGAGTATCCCAGTTATCTGTTACTGTAACATGCTCACGATGATCTAAAACCTCTCAGCAGGCCTCTTTTCTTACCTTGTCATTGTGGGCATTAAACCTTTAACACAAGTAGGGAGGGACATTCACGATCCAAAAGAGGCACCAAAGCTGAGGAATGCTGTCTTAGAGAAGTAACGGCCTACGTTCATACAACAGCCTACACAAGAATATTTATAGCAACCAAACAGCTCTCAGTGGGTGAACAGCTAAACTGTGGTAGCTCCATACAACAGAATACGACTCAGCCCAACCACCAAGTTGTTGTGCCAAGAGAAAGATGTAAATATAGAAAGTTTAAAGATTGTGGAGTTCCACTTACTCTCAAAAAAAAGAAAACTGTAGTGACAGAGACTAGATCATTGGTTTCTGGGAGGCATTAGAAAAGGGAAACAAGAATTAGAACGCCATAGTAGGATCCTATTTTTAAGAAAGGTTGGCCAGGTGGAGGTGGCATACACCTTTAATTCCAGCAATCAGGAGGCAGAGGCAGGTGAATCTCTGTGAGTTCGAAGCCAGCCTGGTCTACAAGAAAAAAAGGTTCTAAGACAACCCAGTATAGAATAAGGACACTGTCTCAAAACAAAACAAAAAACTGTAGTGCTTTGAAAACTTCCTATAGTGACATTTTATTTATGTTTTAATAAACAAAACTTGTCTAAAGATCAGAAAGGCAAACTAAGCCACTAGAGGCCAGGCAGTGGTGGCTCACACCTTTAATCCCAGGATTTGAAAGACAGGCAGATGGATCTCTGTGAGTTCAAGACCACCCTGGGCTACCCAAGATCAGTGTAGAAACAAATCCAGGTGGTGGTGGCTCACACCTTTAATTCCAGTACCAGGGAGTCACACACCTTTAATCCCAGCACTAAAGGGAATATAAAATGGAAGGAGAGAGAGAGGCTTAGTCTGCAGTTACCCAGCCTTGGTAGAGGTAAGACTTCTCTAATGGCTTGGTTGCTTTGCTTTTCTGGTTTTCAGGTCGAACCCCAATGTCTGGCTCTGTGTTTTTATTACTCATGCTACAACTTCCCCTCAGAGATGCAGACATTCTGACACTACAGAGCAAAGCGTCACTCACCAGCTTGGGTGGCACTGCTGTGAACACATCTGTGGTGCTACCAGCTGTTGAAAAGCTTAACAATGCACTTACATGTGCAATGCACTTGCGTGTGTTTCACGGTGCTTTATACTAGTGAACATGTCCTGTGTGTGGTACCGATCTGAACACTGGCTAGACTACATCATCACTTTGTAGAACCTTCCCTCTGACAGAAGCAGTTGACAGTAAAACCCTTATGCTAGCCACAGACACAGGCCTCTCCCTCTAGCACCTGCGTGTGTCTGGGTCTGGAAGGCTTCTCAGAGCACAGCCCTGCACTCAACAACACAGACGGAATGAGTATCACATAGCTTCTGCATCCCATTTCATGCTCTGGGCCCTCTGTTTTGAAATGGCAAACTCCAAGCTGAAATGCCCACGTTCTCAGAATACAAGCCTTGGCTTCTTCCCTCTTGGGTTCTCACAACTGTGTGGGTTTTTTCCCCTCCATTACACAATCTGCCTGCTGGTATAATTATCTGGTCATGTGTCTCACTCCTTGACCACAACATGATCAAAAAGTTGTAACTCATGCATCTTAGAATGCCCCACTGTGTTCTATCTGGGCCCATGTGCATTTGTGAGACCAAGGAGTTCGAGTGGGTCCCAGGAGTGTAGGCCCACTGGGATCCACAATGGGAGGAGGGGGAACTGCCTGGAATTTATGACAAGCCGGTGGCCTACA